GCCAGGATGGACTAAGGCTTTGCTGCAGTAACAAAACACCAACTGTGAAGGACATTGAAGCTTTCTTACTCATTTCTGTCCACCGTGTATTAGCAGGGGGAGTCTGCTCATGGCACCTCCATGAAATGAGAATAATAATTTGTGCCTCAAAGGACAGGTGTAAATTAATTATGTACACAATATTCCTGGTACACAGTAGGGTTATAATGAGTGTGAACATTGTCAGGAGTGTTTATTCACTTAAAACTCACTCTCACTTCATTGACAACTGGGCAGATATGGCACAGAGGCTCTGAAAAAATACTTTGGCTACTCACAGAGGTACTTTTTTAAGTAACTGATGTTACCTGAGGGCATGGACTTCTTAGGTGCCTAAGTGACTTATGTTTGCCACTAAGTATTTCACTAAGGAGAATGAAATGGTTTGCCTTGATGCCAACACCACAGAATCCTAATCCCAACTCTAGGGTGGTAGGGTTGAGAAAGTCCCTAAAAGTGAGCAAAATAGAGAGACCAGGAGAAGAAATGCCATTGACTTGGGGAGAGAGGGAAAAACACATACAGGTGAAAGTACAGTGGGAAACAGGCTCAATAGGTGTGCGAACGAGTTCAGCTTGGTTTGTCATCGCTGCTAAAATTGTGAGAACCGATTAATCATAACCATCTCAGCACCAGATGTCAGCATCCTTTCTCATCAGCTGTTGGAAGAACTGTTCCTAAAATGTGTGCTCAGTTTGGTGAATAGGAGGAAGACCAGTTTTGGTCAGCCCTCTGCCATATTTCAAGTTTGTTGGGATTGTAAAGGGACAGAATATCCTGTCCTGTTGTTCCTCTATATATCTTTTTCTCAAGCTACACTTGGTAAAACATGGTGGGCTACTGTGAATTCTATAAATAAAGTGAGCTGAGTTGAGACTGAGTTTGCCTTAGAGATGTTTACTAAATTGTGTATTTAACTAAACTTTAGATTCCTTCTCTATCCCTTTGTTTATCGTTTTAGTCTATTGACTTGTTTCTTCTTTCCATTTAGGAGAAATAAAAATGTTTTGTGCTCCCAATTATAAGGATACAGTTTTCATTTTTGATGGTTGGCACAAGAAATATGGTGCTAGAACTAAGTGAATGTTAGTTAATGATAAGCAAGGCCACTCTACATCCTGCTTCAGCCCTTTTTCTTTTATTACTCTTAGTTCTCTTTAATTTTTTTTTAGTTTGCACTTATTTTGTTTCTATGTTAGAAAGTTTATACCAAAGTGTAGAAATCCTAGTAATCATATAATGCCTAAAATTAAGATGCAATAGTAGTGATAAGACTAATGATCGCTTACAGTTTAGGAGTACCAGGAGTTGTGGGGTTTGTTGTTATATTGTTGTTTGCTTGCTTTTTCATTTTTTTGGACAGGATCTCACTATGTAGCACAGGCTGGCCTTGAACTCATGATCTTCTACTTGGCCTTCCAAGTGCTAGGAAAATACTCATGCATCACCGTGTGCAACAGGACTTGTATTGGCATTATGTCTTTTCTCTTTCTCTTTCGCTCTCTCTCTCTCTTTCTGTGTGTGTCTCATACACACACACACACACACACACACACACACACACACACACACGACTTTTCACTTGCAAGATCCACACCCAAAGGTAAAATTTCATTAATGACTGAGTCTTTAAAAGCTAAGGTACCTTGCCTAAGATTGAAATGCCAGGAAACAATGGATCCAGGAGTGTGGGCTTTCAATGATCATTACATTGTCGTTAACAAGGTGACACCAGAGGACTGCGGTTCTGCCTTAAATGGAGGGACCTTATTCATCTGTGTACCATCTCCTAGCACAGAACAGAATGGAACAGGGGGTGACGTAACTAGTGCTCTATTTTAGGAAGATAAATCTGGCAACAATGAGTGGGATGAGGAGAACAGGAAAGGCCTGACAGCATGGAGAGCATCTTAGATGCTACTGAGGTAATAGAAAGATAATGAGGTGATGAGCAAGGGAGCTACATTGAGAAAAGAAGTGGTGAATGGAGCGGAGGCTTAGGAAGAGTGAGTGAATGAGAGTCCATGACCATGTGGAGGCAGGGCGGAGGGTGAAGTCCCTGGATGCATAAATATCCACTCACGCAGCAAATGTTTGTTGAGCATCAACTGTGTGCCAGGAACTAGGGATGCAGCCATGAGCCAAGCAAATGAGGGTTTTTCCCTTGTGAAACTTACAGGCTACCTAAAGGATGTAGTGACCAGGGTTATCTAGAGAAGCACAGACAATGGGTGGCAGAGATAAGCAGAGAGATATTTCAAGGATGGCTTACAGGGATGTAGGGGCTTAGCACATCTGAAGTCTGCAGCACAGGCTTGTGGGCTGCAAATATAGGGGTAGGAGCTGACACTACAGTCTCAAGGCAGAATTTCTTCACAGGGAAACCTCAACTTTGCCCTGCAGGCCTTTCAAATGGTAGGATAAAGCCCACCTAGATTGAGGATAATCTTCTTTACGTAAAGTCAACCAACTGCAAATATTATCCAGCCCTACAAATATCTCATGGCAACACCTAGATCACTGTTGAATTACAACAACTGGGTACAGCATTGCTGAGTTGACACAGACATCTAACCATCACAGAAGAGAGGCAAGAATGACAGACACAAACACCGCCAAGTAATAGAGGACAGCCACTGGCTACGATGGTTGGAGTGTCAGGGAAAGCCTTCTCTGCCTGCGTAGTTATGTCCCCATTGTACAGATGCGGTAACTGAGGGTTAAGGACAGTAAGCACCTTATCTGAATGTTAAGACAGCTAATGATTGGCCCTGCCACCATCAGGACTCTGCATGTGCAGAAAACCCCAAAGAGACCTACTTCCCAGGAATAGTCAAAACAACCAGAATGTTTGACTTCCCAGAAGCAACACCAACTGCTGAGCAAGTTTATCTGAGGAAATTGTTTCCTCCTCTCTGAAGGTGGAGTCTGGTCATAGGGCAGTCAATATTGTTTTTTGGGAGTGCAGTGAGTAGTTCCACCAACTTGGATCCCACACACCCCCATCTCCTTATTGCCCTCTCATTCACCACTGGGACTGACCGCTCCCAGTGCCCAACTCAGGCTGCTGCAAGAGCCATGTTGCATAAGACATTCATTTTACCTAGAGCATTCTTGGTCTTCCCTCCCTCCTTCCTCTTCTTATTGGCAGTGTCCATATGGCCCTCAGGTCTCAGCTTTGTCACTTCCTCTGCAGAACCTTTTCTGAGCTTGGGAGCTCCTGGTTATAAGCTCTGCCCCCAAACTCTGTCCTTCTAATGTGATACTTAGCACTGCTTTCACTAAGTAGTCCATATGTTATTTTAGTAATGCTGTCTTTCCTGTTATACCTTAAGGGAAGGAGCCAAGTCCCGTTCTACTGATTCTATGTATTGAACACAAGTCTAGACATATGCTACTGTTGAGTGAACAATTGGATAACAAAATGAATGAATGAGATGCTCTCCTTCCAAGCGGTAAACTTGCAGGGATCCTGACAATCCTCTGGAAACACAGTGGCACAGCTTGGTGCTACTCTCCTTTTTCTTATCCCCAGTATGGTCCTATCCTGGACACAGGTTATCCCGTCATTGGCATGTGAGTTCTTCTGGATTTCACCTTAATAGGTGGCCCCTCCCTGAACCCTTCTGTAATTTGGGAGCACTCAAATGTATAAGCATTTGAACCCAAGGCCCTCTAACACAAAGCAAATGAGGTTATCAGAAGTATTCAAACAAAAGATGAAAGTTGGAGAATGGGTGGAAGTATTGAAGACCAGTACCCTGTTGAGGAGTCTGGCATAGATGGAATGTCCCAAGGAAGCCCTCATGCTGTAAACAGGAAGTGCTGCCTCTTCTTGCCCCCAGTGGGAAATTCTGACTGCTTCTGTCCCGTAGTCTGGAGTCTTGTAAGAGGCAAAGCTTCTGACTTGGGCAGCTACTGAGGTCTCTTATGAGCCAAGTTCAAAGTTGAGTCAGGAAGCCCTCTTCATGCCCACCCCCTTCTCCTGCCAGTCAGACAAAGGCTCATCCCCACTAGCCCTTGAGATTAGCAACACAGATGAGCACATCTGCAGACAGGCACAGTCACTCACAGCAAAAGCACAGTGCCTTTCCCACTGGCTTCTGATGTGACAGCCAGTGACCATAGCAGTTTAAAATATTATTTGTATTATTAAATGCCTCCAGGTGCTCCTCTGCCCTTTGTGTTAAACCCCAAATAGTAATGGTAATCAGCTTTTACTTTCCAGCTGTCTTCTGAGGATGGCAAAAGGAATTTTTTAAATAGTCCCTATTGAATCATCCTGCAAGGCCTGTACAAGTTTCCCCACTTGAGCCAGGCACCAGTGGTTCACACCTGTAACCCTAGCTACTCAAGAGATGGGGAGGACTGCAGTTCAAGGCCACTCTGGGCAAAAAGTTTTTGAAACCCCATCTCAACTAACATCTGGGTGTGGTGGTGTGCACCTGTCATCCTTGTAACAGCTGGAAAAATAAAATAGGAGGATAGGAGTCTAGGCCAGCCTGGACAAAAAGCAAGATCCTATCTCAAAAATAACTGGAGCAAAAAGGGTTGGAGATATGGCCCAAGTGACAGAGCACCTGCCTAACAAGCACAAAACTCTGAGTTCAAACCCCAGTACCACCAAAACATAAAAAAAAAAAAAAAAAAGTTTTCCCTACTTGCCATCAAATGTTCTTCCTATTGAAAAGGAGAGAAATCTCTGTTTTTACATTCTCTACATTTTCTGAAACTTGGAAGTCAGTTGCAAATCATATAGGGCACTCCTGGGATCCAGACAGCTTTTGGCTACATCACCAAAGCTGTAGTGGGAAGCACTTCAGCCCAGGTTAGGTGATAGAGGTTTGAGTCTTGCCCCTGCCACTGAGCAGTTGAGCAACCTTAGACAGATTGCTGGACTAGAGTGGACAAGGGAGTCTCTGCAGGTACCACAGCTCTAAGATGTATGGTTCTCATTGCAGGCATCTTTTCCACAAGTCCTGTGTTGACCCCTGGCTTCTAGACCATCGCACCTGTCCCATGTGCAAGATGAACATTCTTAAAGCCCTAGGGATCCCGGTAAGCACAGCACAGCTGACAGCGTTGTCATGTCTGTCTTTCTGCATCTTTCCCCCTACCCAAAGCAGGGAGAAAGCATCTTACCTGGGCCTGCCATGTCCACTCAATCACATAGCTGTGACATCATCCAATGAGGCCCCAAGAGAGCTCCACGTTGAGAACATTTCTCCTCTCACTTTTTCTCAACCCGAGGACATCCCAGTCTTCACCATGTCCATTGAATTTGTGTGTGAGTCAAGGTGCCATTGTACAGCTCACAGCTCTCTTCTGAGGGTAGATGGAACACCAACAGAGGTAGGATGAGCCACATGGACTGTCTCTTTGGTCATCACCCTGCTCTGTCATCAAGGAGATCTTCATGGTACCTTTCTGGTGTTGCCTCACAATCTCCCAGATTTCAGAGGGAATGAGTCCCTCCCAGCAATGGGAGAAGAGGACAATGCTGAGAATTGAGCTCAAAGCCTCTGGTAAACTCAGATCTCTATGGAGACCTTTAGGAAGCCAGAGCCAAAGCCACTTAACTCTAGCTCTCCCATCAAGCAGCTTCAGCAGTCACATGTTTTTGAAAGTTTAGTCTCTCCCCAGGGCAAAGAGAATCCTGCCAGCTGGCTTCACACTCCCTGAAAAGCCTTTCCCAGGACCATATTAAGTGAACTCACAAGTGGCAACTGGTGAGACACCAGCTGCTGTGTGTTATCCCCTCTGAGCAGATGAGGTCAGGAAACAAGCCAGGCCACCAGATCCAAGCACTCCACAGAGACACAAGGGAAAAAACACAAGGCCCTATCTAAAAGAAGCCACCAGACAGAATCCAGAAACCAGCCTCATCCTCCCCCTGCTCCACTTTCCTGCACTCTGCCTTTAGTCACTCCTCACTGCTAATGGCAGAGAATAAAGGGAATGGAGTCATCCAGAGACGTCACTGAAGAGGAGGACCAGATCACATATCAAAGTTGTCTTTAATGCCGAAGGGCTAATTAGGAATATCGGAGGAGCTCTGATGGTCAGGGTACACGTGATGCCCTGTGAGTCATGCAGTGGCTGGAGTTTTGCCCTATGCCAGCTGCCTCCCTGCCTGCTGTATGCTCATGTGTACAATTAATCCACCAAACACAAACCAACTTGTATGACTGTGGTTTTAAAGCTAGATTCTAAAGACAATGCATTAAATTTTGAGATCAGAATTGCAAATGCATAGTGCAGTCAAGGTGAAAATCAGTTTCAGCAAATGTGAAATGTTAGCAAAACCCCAACATCTATCTCTACCAGACACTGGTAACTTGAAAAATCCAACTCAGTCTTTGTGCTTTTCACATTTTTTTATTGCAATGGAATATTTTAAGGGTGAGAGGAGACATGTGTTTGTGTCTTTGGCCTCCAAAATCTTCAAAATTGTCATAATTCGAGGGAGATAGTTGCATCATTTGATCTAGTTTCTACTGCTCAGGATATTTTCAGAGCCTAAGGATCAGACTCAGTGCTCTTTGGTCAGGACAAAGAAACCAAACACTTCCCACCCCCATACTTAAATTTTTCACTGAGTACTATTTGGCTCCAAACTATTCCCACAGAGGTATAATTTCTCCAGAAGCTACTTGTCCATGAGTTACAAAGATCACTATTAATGTTGCTGAAGTGAAATTATTGAGTGGTCTTTTGGATTATTTCTAAGTTCAGTAAGATTTTACTTTTTAGCAGTTGGACATTCTGGCCATAGTTTGGTGCCCACCAAGTAGGGTAGGATTTTACTTAGCACATTTGACTCTCAGAAAATAAACGTCACTGTCTATGGCCCCACCAACCTGAACGCACCCAGTCTCATCTGATCTCGGAAGCTAAACAGGGTCGGGCCTGGTTAGTACTTGGAGGGAGACCATAAGCATCAGTAGAATCTCTTGGATTTTTCCAAGGATTTTTGAAGGTCAGTCAAACAAGGACATGACACAAACCCATGGTCACCCCACACAACAGAACATCCACCGTGATAAACAAGACGCGAGTAGCATGCCATGCTAGTTCTGACAAACACCACTCAGGGCTCTTCCGCTTCTGTCCTAAAGAATGAGAAAGTTAGGCTCTGGAAGGAATCTGAGGTCTTATTCTGCTCCATTCTTCTGCCACTGGGGAGCACTATGACTAAAAGATACAATGAGATGACTTCTCCGTTCTTACAGTTTTGCCTATCATCAGACAAGCTCACTGCGTTTTCTTAATTAGAAAACACTTCCTATACTAACTGAAACCCTTTTTATGCAGCTTAAAGAAGTTGTCTTGATTTTTTTTATTTCTTAGGGTCTCCATGTGTAGCCCAGGCTAGTCTCAAACTTGTAATCCTCCTACCTCAGCCTCCCAAGGGCTGGAATTACAGACGTGTACCACCACACTTGGCTTGCCATTTGTTTTTATTTAACGAAGGTTATAAACAGCCTGTCACTCTGATAGCTGATGTCTGTCAATCCTTCACCTCTGTAATCCTTCCCTTACATATGCTAAGTGTTTGATAAATGTCGGTAGAATTGTAGCCCTTCAGAGTTGTGAAGGCTGCCAGTTCCAGAACCACATTTATAAATTACACCCTGATTCTCCTTTAAACAATGTCAACTCACATATGACTTGGTCATGACACTGACTAGATGTTTCAAATCCAGGTGATTGAGGCATATTATTTTTGTTTGTTTGATTTTTCATTTCCATTGTTTTTAACCAAGTCTCCATTTACCTGCCCCTACAAGCAAACAAATACAAGTCAAAAGCCATGACCTAGGGACATTTTTATTTGTAAATGATTTCTCTACACGGAGCTGAAGAATGATAGTACTGCTCACGGATCATGAAATTCCCATCACAGTGGCTATCACTGCCAAAAGGAAAATAATACCCTACATTACACGGCTCATCTTCCTTTCTACCTAGCCAGGTCCAGGTCTCCTTTGTGGGATGGCCCAGCTTCCATGACTCCTCCTGTCAGCCACCACGGAGCCCAGTCTTTCTGATGCCAGCAGGCACCTCCTCCTGCCACTGTCGCCATGGTAGGGAGGATGATAGTCACCATCTAGAAAAGCCCATGTTGCTGGTGTATTCCTAACTATTATCCATTGATGTAGTTGAGTTTCCCCCTGCTAACCTGAATTTAAATACCTCACAGTGTTCATTTGAAGATAGCAGTTGACATCTTCTTTAAACATTGTGGCTGTGACTTCTCTTAGAAGCATATAAATTTGTTTTCTTTTCACAATGTTCTGTTTGATGAACCATATAGAATGGACATAAACTGAGAGGTTCTAGAAGGATGATCTGTTACATGTCATATCCAAGCCACATTCATGCCTGCCTCCATTGACAGTCTCGCAGAGCTAATTAGCTCTTTTTCTCTCCCATGCTCAGAACATAGCACCCCTTCTGCCATCCCACAAACTATAAGCAAAGATGTACTGCATCAAAACTAAGAAAGACATAAAGTGAAAGAACAGTGTCAACAACCAGGATCAATATTTTGAAAAGTTTGTCAGTTGGTATTGCATAGGACTGCATTTGGTTGCTTATGGTTGAAGGAATAACCATCAGTGTGCCCCCTTTACCAAATCCTTTCTTCCCTGATACCCCACTTAATAAACATCTTCACCCAGTAAAACTGACTTTTGACACAAAACTTTACAGCTCTTAAAGTATTTTCTCAAATCATCCCTTAATTGGTCTTGGTTAGATATGAATACACCCAAGTTTTCAGAGGGGAAATCTGAGACTCAGATAAAATGTTCAAATCAATATTTACTTTGTTGTAAATCAACATTCACGTTGTCTGAGGCCCTACATGGAGGTTCAGAAGTCAAGATTCAATACAATTGCTTCTCTTTACAGTGCTGGGTGCGACTGGGATGAGGCAAACATATCAACCGGTGACCACACAGAGTAGGAGCAGTGTCTTATAAAGTGCTACAGGATCAGTGATGACTGGCTGGGAGGGAACTCTTTTTAGAAATGTTAGCATTGACCTGAGAGTCCAAGAGTGACTAGGAATTCACCAGGGATCAGCTGGAGACCTTGGAATGGGGAAGAGAAGGTGATTGGGGCAAATGTCACCTTGAGCAGAGAAGCAGTGTAAGGAAAAGCACTGAGATAAGAGAATGTACAGTGCAGTCTGTTTTCGAAGACTGAAGGTGAGGCCAGACAAACAGGCTGGAGAGGCTCTAGAGCATCTGGTCTGTCGTGCTAAGGAGATTGTAATGCATTCCTCAGGAAAACAGAGAAATCATGTCTACGTGAGTTTTATTGTTGTTTTCTTTTGTTTTGTTGGTGAGAAAGTGGAGACTGAAATAAACTGAGACAGGTAGGAGACAGAGATTGGTAATGGGGTGAGAACATTCCTAAGCATACCTGTTCACGTCCAATGTCAAAATCAGTAAATTTGGTGAGTCCATCATCTTCTACATTGAGTTTTAGTGAATGGGCTCACTTTCAATAGAGCAGAGAAGGCAAAAAGAAGAGAGGATAGAGAGAAGAAAGGAATGAGCTTACTTTGGGGAGTTTGTGGGATGATGAAGACTTCCAGCTGACTGCTGGAAGCACAGCTGTGGCTCTCGGGAGGCTAACCTTACACAGTTGACAGGCAGAAAACCATGGAAGAGGCCAGCATGTTGTCTTCTGCTTTCTGCTCCCAGTGAGTCCAGGAGTTCAGGGTGTCTGTTTCAATGAGCTTTGACTCCAGTGTTGTGGTGATGCTAATTCAGTGAGGGTCCACTCAGAATTTCTTCCCTTGACCCTGACCATCAGGCTCTGCACAGTCCCAGGGAATCAGGCAAAGTTGAAGTTCAGAACAAAGCCCAAAACAACAACAAAAAACACAGCTATTCTTAATATTCCATAAGACTACATCCTTCTTTCACCACCTGTTCGAAACTTTCATGAGTTCAAGTAGACACAAGGGCTGAAAGTAATTTTGAACGCTGTTCGTGGAAGAGAGACAAACACACCCACAGAAGAACTAAGAGCAAGGAGGGAAACTCGCAAAGAGTACTATTCTACCCAGTAGTAGAAAAGGCCAACGCTGACCAATGCCACCTACCTCGAAGAGCAGAGAGCTCCCACTGCCGTGTGGCTCAAGGGGAGCAGTTGGCCATATTAGAGAGAAAAGTCCTATAATGAAGCAACCATTGAATAGACTGGTCTCACCCTAGATTTATGACTCTAAGATTTTAAGGGTTTGACTAATGTGTGATCAATACCATGTTAGTACATAGGAAGCTTTTTCTATACTTGATTTTTGGCTTCTCTTTTTAAAAAAGCAGCCTAGCACTGTGCTTTTGTGTGTGTTTGTGGGTACGTATGCATCTTTAATGAACAATTCACAATGAGTCAGGTTATGTTCCCCTTCCACTTTCATATCATTAATATATTTGTGAACCCCATATGAGTCTTTGGGAATAATTATTGGGCTGCCAGCTCTATCCTATGTGGGGAGTAAAACCCACTACATATAAGGAGGTTCTATCATTATAAACAGATATCATGCATTCCTCCCAAGTAATTATTTAAGCATAGAAATCTTGCCAGTCCTGAAATTAAAACTATGTATAAACTATACCTATATATCTTAAAGGAACCTTGGGAAGGAAATGTTAGAAGATCTTTTCATGTGAACTTGGAAGATCCTCTCATGTTACTGGAACCACATATGCACTGACTTTAAACAAAGTGGTTCAAGAAGAAAAGAGTAAAGAGCTTAATTGTTCATTGAGACAAAATAAGCTGTAGACATTTCATCTCTAAACTGATGACATGCTCTAAGAACAGATGCTTTTCTCCTCCCCTCAGCCCAATGCCGACTGCATGGATGACTTGCCCACTGACTTTGAGGGCTCTCTGGGAGGCCCACCAACCAACCAGATCACAGGGGCCAGCGACACGACAGTAAATGAAAGTTCAGTCACTCTAGACCCTGCTGTCCGAACGGTGGGAGCCTTGCAAGTGGTCCAGGACACAGACCCCACACCCCAAGAGGGGGACATCATCTTTACTACTAATAGTAAGTCTGCTGTGCTTAAAAGGGCCATTGCCTCTTGGGAGTTGGAGAAAGAAACATTTCCTCAAGAAGAAAAAAGTACATTGTGTGAGTATATCACGGCCACACTCAACAGTCATACACCTTGGGTCCTTAGAGGATGATTTTTCCAAAGTTGGTGGGACAGATGGCAGACCTGGCTCTGGGTCCCTACACTCCTACCTCCCTGACACTACAGCACACACCCCACAGCACATTCTCTTTGTACCCTTCAGTAAAGTACCTGCAGCAGATATGGCTGTGGGCCTGGCCTCTGAGAGTAGAGGCAGGTAACAGCCATAACTGCAAGAGATGCTCAGGAGGACTGGAGAGGTCATCGCCCCTCCAACCTGTTTATGTGTCTGCACATGTGGGAGCATTTGAGCCTTCTTGAGTGTTTGTGGCTGTAGGAGCTGGTCTGGACTGTGTGCAACAGGCTGTTTTCCCATTACTGTAGGACTTAGACAGAAACAGTCTCTACTTTCTATTTTATGTAAGAGACAAGGTCTTGCCAGGCTAGTCCCAAATGCCTGGGTTCAAGCAATGTTCCTGCCTCAGCCTCATGAACAGCTGGGACTACAGGCAAGCACCACCATGCCCAGGTAAATGGTACCCTTTATATGGGCATTTTTGTAGGATAGCTTGAACCCCTGAACACAGTGGCATGGCCCTGCACATTTTAACATCCTTTGGGTATTCTTGCCCTCATCTCCTGCTTAGTCTGTCACTGAATCCTGTTTTGTTCACTGGTAGTTATCACAAAAATATTACAGCATCTATAAGTACATCAAGATTGAAGCTTAAACCTAAAGTCTTAGTTTAATATAGTAAGAGACAAAAGCTTGAGGAGGTCTAAGAAAATCGGTGTGCAGATTAACTGGGTTTTGAAGTTAAAAGAGTGGGAGGATGGTGCAGGTTTTAAACAAAGTGTATTTCTCTTGATAGAAGTAAACTATTCTTTGGAAAACTTAGAAATATAGACAAGCAGATTGAAGTACCCTGAGCATTCTCTCTTAAGTCAGCTTCTTTTTTACATTTTTGTGATTTTTTACAGATCTACAAAATTCTGATAAGATGTAAAGATAGGCATTTCGATCTTAACTGTTGAAACACAGGAAGGGAGGGAGGGAAGGAGGGAGGAAATAAAAAAGAAAATATCAAGGCACAATATCTAGACATAGTCCCTTTTAACATTGTGGCTTATTTCTTGATCAGTTTTTTATGACAGAGTTGAGATAATCCTATAGAAATGAATGCTGAGTTTTGAAACCTTAGCATTTTCACAGGACTTTGACAGACGGTAAATTGAAGAGGAATTTGGTGCTATTCCAAGTTTGTTAGTTCTTGATAAATAAGAGGTTTAACTCCAAAAACTTGACTTTTCACAGTACAAGGATCTCAATACTGAAATACTGACCATTAACATTTAAAATTCCTTAAGGACTGATTCTAATCCCTCTGCTTTAAAGATCTGCACTGAGCTTATCCAGTACTAATACAATGCAAGCCATATATGTAATGCAGGACTTTCTATAGACACACTACAAAAATTAAAATAAATGGGTAAATATCATTTAATAATATACTTCATTTAACTTTATATTCAAAATATTTTACATTTTTTGTATAGTCTTCAAAACCTGTAATATATTTTATGTTTCCAATATATTTTAGTTTAGACTGGCCACTCTTAAAGTGCTCAGTTAATCATATGTGCTCAGTGGCTGCCATCCTGGAAAACGTAGATCCAGAATCTCAAGGATTTAAATAGAACCTTGAGGATTATTTAATTTTTATCAGGATGAATTTCTCATTTTTATCATGAGAAAGGTGTGGCTTCTAATTTTTATCATGCGTAAATGTGTGACCCAGGCCAAACAATGAATTCTCCTCTCAGTGGACAGGATGTGGACAGGATGGTTTGTGAATTTTCTATTTATTGGACATTCTCCCTCACCATCAGACATGTGACTACTAATGACCTTAAGGAAGTCTATTGGAAGGCCTGACAGAATATTGCTAGCAGTTCAAAAAATTTAAGGCATGAGCGTTTTTCAGATGGTAAAAAGAACAAAATAAAAATTGGATCATTATCCTTACAACAGGACAATTATTTGATTCTCAGGAGACAATGTGTTATCTCAGATTCCTCATTACAAAAAATGACTATATCTTGATACATCTCAGGAAATCCCAAATGACAAATGAAAAAGCATTTTAATTTAATACCAGTTAAATAACATCCAAAATCTTAAAAGATGGAAGCATTCTGTGGGTTAAAATACATCCAAAAATGAAACAGAAAATTACAATCTATATCCATATGACTCATAACCTCTAAACTGCTTTCGAGTAAAATAGGATGAACGTGGTAAGTCACAGCAGGCATATGTTAGATGTTTATTGGATGTCTTGAGGTGCAGTGTTCAACCATAGGCCTGAAGCAAGAACCTTCTGTTGCAACAGGAGAAAAAAGCACCAGTTAATTTCAAAGAAAGGTATTGGAAAAGTGAGGTGAAGAGGCAGGAGGAAAAAAAACCATATCTATAGTCAGAAGACCAATATGAATGTGGCAGGGAAATATCAGTTGCTCAGCACAGAAACTGCATTTTAGTCACAAAACATTGTCCTAGACCACCTATTTCTGATTGGTCTTATTTATTGGGATTTAACAGAATTTAACAAACATAACCATTAATGAAGTAGCAGTAGATTTTTTAAGGGGAAAATTCCCTATGCAGGTTTTTAAATTGCCTAATACCCTCCTCAAATAAATACATAATCAATACATGAACAAACAGAAATATATCATTAAATGTGTGAAACAATTCCAGTTCTCAGCAACGTTATTGTCATCAGATTGCTTACTACTAAAATAGTATAGATGAAGCTAATACTCCCAGAAATCACAAATCAATAGTCCAGCGGAGACTGGACCTGACTTTTCTCCAAATTATCCTTTCCCTCCTCACATATCCACAGACCTAGGAAAAGAAAGAAAATGAAGAAAAAAATAGCAGCTAGCAAATAACGTAGTACTAACTGCACCAGACACTCTTTGAAGCCTGGTTCATTAACTCACAGCAGCCCTGTGAGATAAATATTATTTTTATTCTCAATTTACTGATGCAGAAACAGAGGCACAGAGAGATTAAAGTCATTGACCCAAGGTCCTAAGATGGTGGTCGGTGGCACTGGAATTCAAACCAGGCTGCTGACTACAGAGCTCTGTGTGCTCATAGAATGAATGAGGGGGGTGGGGGGGAGCACAACTGACATAGTTGCTCACTCACTTCTCATTTAGTTTATTCATTTCCTGCTTTTGGTAATCTTAATCTTAAAAGATCAAAACTTTGCTTCATTCCTATTTGTACTCTTATTCCTTCCTCTTTTCCTGGTAAGTAGAACTGGTGTGTAGATCCAATGCTTGCCAAAGTCCTTTCAACACTCATGGGGAGAAGGAGTAGAGCAGATTGCCTCTGGAGTGAAGATGGAAAAACCTAGCATTAAGGGATCATCTTCAGCCCCCAGGAAAAAAGGAAAAAAAAGCATTCACAATCCACAGAAACCCAAACTTAACATTGGAAGAGAGGCAGTCTTACTTATACACTTTTAATTAATGTTTCTGACATTCCATCTTTTGTAACCTCGTGTGGCAGTCAAGATCACAGTTTTCTCCTCTGCTTTAGTGCAGGGGCCATGGTGTGGATGCCCAAATACCACCCACCAGTCCCTATCTGCAGCTGGATCATACCCAAACATCCTTTGCTTCTGAGTCCCCTAGCTTTGGCTGAAGATCGTTGTGCTTGCTTCCACTGGGAAAAATATTTCTTAGGAACAAAGGGAGACAAAATAAACAAACAGTCCTATGTGTTTGGAGACTCCAGAGAGGAGCTAAAGAAAGACAAAAAGAAAGAATACTTTATTACCCCTCCCAAAACCCTTCAGTGCTGCTCTAGTCTTCCGTGTATTTTTTTCAAGAAAGTTGTTGACTCTACCATCCATTTCCTTATTTCTCTACTGAATCATCCCAAAGTCCTGTGGTGCTGCCTACAGACCACTACCCACTTGCCATCCTTCCACCTCAAATTGGAAGCAAGCAGAACGAAGAACTCTCACATCTGCCCCAGGACATTTGGAGGAGCCTCTGGCAGGACACACATAACCAGGAGATCTGGTCTTAAGCTTGCCAGAAGGAAGCAATACATAGGAGCTGGTGCAGAGGCTGATAAATCCTGACCAACTGAGATGAAAGGTGGTGGGATCGCCTCTGGGAAATGTCCTCTGCCAACTTTCTACCCACTCTGATCCTTGGGGAGAGAGTGCAGTATCTAATGCGTTGAGCACACATGGCTGTGGCATCTTCAAAATGCATCTTTATTTAGAATGTGTTGAGTGGGGATAATGTTCCTTGCCCTGGATGAAAATTCCAGTGGACCTAGCAGTTGTCCACTCTTTTTTTTTTTTTTTGAGTTTGTCATCTTTTGTTAAAATTATTTTTATTAGCATATAATAGCTGTACAGGGAGATACATTGTGATATTTACATATGTGCTTGCATTGTATCTTAGATTTACCCCTCCATCCTTTTCTCTTGCCCCACATTCTTAAAAAATTTTTAATAGATTTCGTTCTTCTATTTTCATATATGGATACAAATACATCCATCATATTCACCCTCATTCCCCCTTTCCTGGTGCCTACCCGCTCCCACTGGTACCCACCTCCAGAAAAGGCCTATTTTTCCCTCCTGCCCTTCATTTTTATAAAAGTACATATTGATATTCCAAGGAGGGATTCACCTTGATACTTCAGGCCTGTTATATCATGCTTTAATCAAATCAAGCCCCTCTCTGTTCACTCTTAAGTAACTGACAGTTGTCCATCCTGGAGATCCGTTTAGATAGGTTCCACATTGACCCTAGTCTGGTGCATTGACTTATATGGCACCATTACAGAGGCACTTACATGTCACCTCTCCTGGTCCAGCAGCAACAGGATCCAGCATCTGATTCCTCATGGGCCATTGGCCTCCTCTCTGCAGATTACAGGCATCAGGGAGACTTCTGTCCACTCTCTGCTATAGCTCTTCTGAAGTTTGAGTCCAGTGGGGTGAGTCCCACCATGGAGTGCCTATGTCAGAACGTCTTGGGAGGCCCTCCTGCAGCACCCTTCACAGGCCTGGAGGTTTGGAGGTTCCTTTTCCCCAGCCCACTGGCTGGAGGTGTGGAATTCAGCATGACAGCACTGTCCCTAAATAAACTCCATCTCTCTCCTTTTTTATTACCTCTCAATGGCCCATGGGCCAAGAGTCACAGCACAGGCTTCCTTTCATATCATTTGTCCGTTTTGCAAAGGGAGCAGAGAAGCAGAGGGGAGGGTCTATCTTCTGCTTCTTTACTGTCCACATCTCTTCTGGAGAAACTGAGGCAGGAAGAGTCCTATGAGAGCACAAAAGAATTAGTTCCTTAATGTCTTGATGATCTTCGCCTTAGGACCGAATTCTTAGCTGGTATCGCTAACTAAACAGCCCCTTTTAAAAGAGCCTAAAGATAGGTCAGTCCTTTGGCAGGGAAAATATACATAATATGTATATATGGTCATCTTCAAAATTCACTCACAAGGCAGAAATAATTGTTAAAGCATGACTGAAGTTGAAGCATAAAAAAGTTTTTATACCAGCTCTCATAGCTGTTGCTGCCACCGCCCAGGACCCTCCAGGGACACACACTTCAAACTAATTATGGAAAAAGCTTCCAGAGAGTTCATTCAGAGACTCATGTTTAGTCTCTGAAATGATTCACTTTCTCTCTGAGGATTCTTCACTACTAAAACACATCCTCTTAAAATCAGGCCAGAAGTGAGATCCACTCGAACTTTTTTAAGTCCTGTGTTTTTCAACAAGCAACGATGAAGCATTTGGAATGTCTGTATTCAAAAGTCTTAGATGCCCTGAAGCCTGCTCTGACCTCAACCAGAACATGAAAACAAACAAGAAAACATGTGTGTTCAGATCTTTTCCAGGGAAACCGATTTTGAACCTCAGTGAGTCAAGACAGCCAAGAGAAAGAGCAAACGCTGGCATGAACATCACACTTCTGTTTCAGATACGCAACTGTGCCGGGCTGCACTTGCAAAAGAGCAGTTCCAGGGTTTGTGTGGCTCTAAAATACACGGGAGCATTTGGAAACAAACACATGTAGATAAAGCGAAGCATCCCAGGGTTTATGAGAGAGTTGCACGAGTGAGTAGTCACGTCTGCTTTTTTTTTTTCTAAAGCCAGAAATGGCAAAATTGCTGCCCTTAACTATGGATAAATATGCCAACTGCAACCAGCCACCAGAATGATATCCTTTGGCACCCAGAAGATTCACATTAGTCCTGGAAGTCATGATTGCTTCAATTCATGAGCAGATTCCATGGTATAGACAAAGGAATCAGCCTCTTAGATCTTAGACCCAATGTCATCTCCCCTTCGGGAAGTAGTTAACCCACAGTGGACTACATCTATACAAAATGAAGCATTTACAGATCGTGACAGTGCTCCAAATCAATCTCATGTCTCTCAATGTGACAGGTCCCTGGAGCAACATCAGCGCCTTGCTCCTGAGCCCTCCAGCTCTCCAGCCTGGTGGCAGCTTCAGCAGAGGGACAGCTGTTGTGAAGAGCATGTGCCTTGGTCACCAAGCTTGTCCAGATGGCAGCTATTCAATCCACAGCCCACAGGCGTTCCTGTGACAACGCTCCTCCTTGATTAAAAACATTTGCCAATCTGAGCAAGCCCACTCAGGGCCAGACTCCCAGTGTCTCCCGTTTGTGTGTCTGGTGCTTCTGACAGGGACAGACGCTTGAGGATCTGCAGATTCACAAACAGCCCAGTAGAGAAATAATCAATTTCAATCACAGATAACTGGCCACTTGGAGCACTCAGCCTGGATAGGACACACACCATCCCCCCGGAAGAAGCTTGTCTTCCTGAAGTGAAGCAGATTAAATGCACTGGTTGCTGGGATTTCATCTCAGATGCTCTGAGTTACTCATTGACAGCACCATCTTCCGCATAATTAATTCCTCACAACGCCATCTCCCTTTTGATAGGTGTGGTGGCTCAGCAGCTGTTCCCAGTGTGCGCCGAGGACAGGACTTTGGAGCAAACCTGCACTTTATCAGACATCCCACACTGCACAGGGACCTCAGCAGCCAGGCACAGCTGGGGGCAGGAAACAGGGCCCCGCAGGTCAGCACTTTCTCAGTGTTTGGGCAGCATCAGGTGTAAATGAGATAACAGTTTTTTGTTTGCGGTTCACCTGGAGAGTAAATGACGGAAGTTCCATCATTCAGCGACTGAGAGCAGGGACAGCTGAAAATGCCTTTTGGATGGCATAAGGATTGGATTTGAAAATCAAGAGTCCAAAGGCTCAGTAAGTCACAGTGTTTCAGGAGTGAAATGCGATGGGTCGGGAAAGTCACTGGTGCTACTTGGGAAGACAAGGTCATGGGAACACAGCTAGCCTGAGGAAGGACAATTGGGTCTGAAAGCCATGTTTGGCCTAATTATTATGGTGATCTTTGATCAGTCACCTACCCTCTTTTCCATTAATCAATTGTACAGCAAGTGATTTCTAAGATCCTTTCCAGACTCACAATTCTGTGATAAAGTTAGGAGCACTACCTTGGCACAGCTCCGAGTCACAGTAGGAAAGAGTCAAGATCCTGCAGGTTCACTTACAAGACCTTATTGCCCTCTTCTTCTTCCCCGGCCCAGCACCAAAAAACTTAAAGGGGCCCCCCCCCCACCCTAGAGTAAGGAGCTGTGTCCTCTGCACATTTCCCACCCCACATTTTTTATAAGAGTCCAGATGACCACTGTGGGATCTGGCATCTGCTCATTTTCATAGAAAATGATAGGTAGAAAGGCCAAGGGCAGTGGCTTATGCCTGTAATCCCAGCTACTCTGGAGGTGGAGATCAGGAGGATCACAGTTCAAGGCCAGCCCAAGCAAAATGTCAATGAGACCTCCCCCATTTCAACAAATAAGCTAGGCATGGTGGTGCATGCATGTTGATCCCAGCTACTCAGAATTGCAGGTATAGAGGAAGCCCCAGGCAAAAAGAGAGATCCTGTCTGTAAAATAAACTAAAATGGAAATAGGCTGGTGGTGCAACTCAATTGGTAGTGCACTTGCCTAGCAAACATGAAGCCCTAAGTTCAAACCCCAGTATCACCGAA